AAACCCATTTAGGAAACTTAAGTTCCTTGTACTATTAAGAGTACGTTTATAGTTTACGTACTGCTTAAGAGTACGTTTATAACATAGAGCCTAATATGGGTTACGGCGTCTCCCCACCACGCTGTCGGGTTCCTTTCGTGCCCCATGATGGCCCCACCTTCTACACCTCCTGTCACCGTACAGCCCACCGGTTCACTCGCTCACATTTTATCCCGTACGCTTTGCCCCACCTCTGTCCACACCTACCTTTAGCGTACAACCCCCTCCGCTCAAGAACAAAATCCACAAGAAAGGCTTACACCCGCTACAATCAAAAACAGCCGCATTTCCAGGCAATAAGATACAAGTGGACACCAGCGATCTCTAGATAGACTCGAACAGAGGTAACACATACGTCCTAGCTTGGATCAATGTACACTCATCATATTCCATACGCAGACCAATCATGAAGAAATTGGCTGCAACTGTCGCACGAACACTCGTTCCAATCATGTGAGAACATGGCTTTCCACGAGTCATACAAACAGATCAGGGTACACAATATGTGAATGACATCGTTTCAAAAATTATTGAGCAAGCCGCGTCACAACATCTAGTATCCCAACCGTATCAACCCAAGGCAATGGAGGCATATGAGCGGTAACATAGAGACCTCATACCCTTACTGAGAAAATCCGTTGAACAAAACCCAGGCAACTGATGTTCACGCCTCCCATTTGTTCAAATGCGCAGCCTGCGTTCATCAAGGCGACACAAATCACCACAATTCAATGTGTACTATGTACCAAGACAAAACTAACTAATCGATTACAACACGCTAGTCGATGCACATGGCACAACAGTACCACGGGAAACACGACTGAAGAACCTAGAAAAGTCGATTATACCACAACTAGACCAAATGTTGCATAATATCAAGAGAAAGTGCGCGCAGAATATGGCCGAAAATACCGAAAAAAAGTACGTACACTTCCAGGAAGGGGACATTGTAATGGTTCGTTACCAAGGTGAAATGGATAAAATAGCAGCACTATATGGAGGACCATACAGCAACGGGTACTTTGTCTGTAACCATGATGAGACTAGACCCCCGGAGTCAACTCGGTCAGTGATGAAATAATTGGACTAGCCAAGAAGGCTAATGCTTTGGAGAAATCCACCCCCAATAGCAAAGTACAACCAACAGAGGAGACTCAATTCTCCTCGATACTTGACCACTGGTCCATCCATGGTGATGGATCCCAGAAGTACCTAATGGACAGATGGAGAGCATACCTGGACGTACGAAACAACCAACAATGCACCAGACGCAAGCGAAGGCAATCCAGACCGACGAAGTCATCAACAACAAACGCTGATGAGCGATCAACAAGCAACAAGGTGCGCACGATGCGGGGAACTAAACCAAGGGATAAGTAAGGACCAAAGACTCGGTTGAAGAACCACCGTTGAGATGAGTTTTTCTAAGCCAAGTTGGGATCAACCGAGAGTGCAGGTCAAGACTGACTCGGATGAGTGTGGCTGAGAACTCCCGTCAAAGCATAATTTATAATTAGGTAATATGTAAGAATAGATAAAAAATAGGATATATGTAAGAATCGATAATGGTGGCAGGATTTACATCTCAACCTCTCAAGGGACAAGTTTTTCCCTGTACAAAAACACCAACCTCAAAAATCTAGTACTGCAAGATGTCACTTTCCACTCCTTCACAGGCTCAGAAGTACAAAGTTAGGGGGCTGTAGCAGTTAGGGATAATATTATTTATTTCAAAGGAGTTAAGTTACAATCTTTGTACATATGGTATGGCTCTCATAGCCGTTGTAGTGGTTCGGGGAAGATCGATGGGAAGAAGTGGACAGTAAATTCACTGTTGAAGCTTGGACCAAGTGAGTCGACATTGTAGGATATGCGCTGGGTCAATTCAGGTCGGTGCTGACAAAAAACCGACACCATCGAGTGTGCCACGTATTCGCTTTCTGATCTACTAAATAGCGTACCCACCTCTGTGGTTCGGATCGGGTCTTTATCGTGTAGTGCTGTGGAATTGGTTAGTGCAGAGTACGAAATGCCAAGTAGGACCAGGTTATCCGTCATAATTCGGTTGAGGAGCGAGGTTGGGGGTGAATCGATGCCGCACCAGACCACGGATGCACTCGGTATGTGCTGGTTTGCCTGTATTGAAAGTATCATAGGCGGAACCAACAGGCGCGATGGATTGGTTCGGACCGAAATTTGGAAGTAGTACTTCAACAGCGTGATTAGCCGGGGTATAGGAGACATCTGTTGATATGTCAGAGACGTGTGTGGGTACAGGGGTTGTTCTACATGCTGAAGAAAAGATCCAAGGTGTTCGTGGAGGGTCCAGATACCATGAAAGTCGTGGCGCTCCTGTAGTTGCTGGAGGAGATCAGGGCCAATGAGAGGCAGTTTTGGGCCTACCAGGATGCATTTGATCAGTTGCTGGATGCAGGCAAAGTGACTGGTGGTGAAATCTTGGCCACCGGGGCAGACAGGGCAGAGACAGCCGTCAGTGCGGTAGTCGAGCAATGTGAACATGTACGTATTTGTTACAATCATAGCACAGAGCCGGATTGGTGTAGGCTCGACCAAATTATCAGAAAACCTCAAAACCCATAGCCGCAGGATTTTTATATACCGAGCTCTGGGGTCCGGATTCAATATTTCTGATATTAGAGTCATCAGAAATATAGCTGGATTACCAGTAGATGATACCGGGACCCTGTGTGAGAGAGAAACACTGAAGTAGAATTTGAGTCTAGTGTAGAAACACCAAACACAAATAAATACTCGATGCGAATCCTTCAGCTTAGAACTTTACCTAGCTGAGAGGTTCGCACTTGAGAAAAGGCCTATTGCTTCCTTTGGGCGTATCTTGATAGCTACTCTCAAACTCTACAGTGGTGTTAAGAGATTTAATGGTGGCGCCCCTATCTAGGAGCATTTTAGCCGCAGTGGTAGACTGAGTATAATCAACAGTAATACGTGCTACAAAAGGATAACTTATACTGTTTTAATAGCACGACGGCCGCAGGAAGCCGCAGTATGTGTGGTACATAATTAGCAAGTTGATGAAATTTGTAGAGACAACGTGTCCACAGCGGTCTTTCCCGTGTGCCGCAAGGCTGCTCCATGCGCTTGGCAAGTGAACTAGTCCACGCAGAATAACATGCAAATAAAACCTCTACTAGTCTTCTTGAAAACCTTGTAGTCAATGCGACGGCTCTGCCCAACGTTTAGGGCGCGTGGTGCTTGGGAGAAGAGGTTCACAGCGGCTAGCTCATTTATTTACATATAAAAAGTGAGAATAAAGTCACAGGTCACTATGGAGATTGCTCGCCTCTGGTAATCGGCAGCTTTAAAATTGTTTGTCAGTCTTTTTGGAAAATCTTATAATGTCGCGACAAACGCCTCTGAATGAAAATTTCCTGGAGGAGAGACGACAATCGGGATACGACCTTTAAAGTAGGGGAAAAAAGTGCTGCAAATTCTTTCCGCGTTTTGTGTGGGGTATTGCTGAGTGCTGTTGAGTCATTCGAAGCTCTCGTAGTTGGAATGATAAAATGTATATACTTATGAGAGTATATACTCACTCATTTCTATTTTAATGAAGTTGGTCATGGTCATACGTTATCCAACGTGTCCGATTCAATACTGACATTCAGAATGTACCACTTGCCGTGTCGCGTAGTTGTCAACTCGAAGGGATTCGCTTCTATGTAATAACAGTAGCTACACAGACAGTCGCTATCACTGGTGCGCGCCTGGCCAAAAATTTATTTGTGATTAGACATAAACTGGTGGCTGATTAAAGTGGTATATCAGACCACATTTGGCACTAGTATGATAGTACACCGTACTATGCTACGCAATGTTGTCGTGATTGTTCAATTATTTAAGGTTGTTCTCTTATAATATTCAATCTCCCGACCCCCTGGAGCTTCTCGCTCAGGTTTATTCAGCTCTCTCTTGCTTTTTCACGCGTGATTTATCCCTGGGATAGTATATTGCACAGAGCAAGAAGCACAGCGAACCTAGAATTGCGACTGCGCTGCAACTTTGGAGTGAGATCCGCATTGCGTCAGGCCTGGATATTCCCTTATTGACAAGTGCATCCGTAGCTATGCCCACAGCATATGGTGATAGCGCTGTTCGTTATCAATACAACGAATTGTCACAAAGTATCCAAAGGTAGAACAGTAGGGTGAGCACGTGATATCCTGGCTGATTGGAAATGAATCTATTCGTCCATGTCTTAGATGGTCGCCATATCCATACTGTAGGCTTCAAAATATGATGCGTGAAAAAATGGAACGCAGGGAATAGCAATGTGCTTCACATATAACTAGTACCATAAGTGAAAGGACTGCGCGGAACGAACCAAAAAGGACAACTTGGTAAGATTGCTCAAATGAAGAGTTTGTTTTTATTACAGTGACCCAAGCATGTATCCAATAACAAAAACAAATTCACCAAATATGCCGAAGTTTTGCGTCAAAGGAGCAAGAGAGAAGATGAGCAGAAAACTTCCCTTTGCATTTTGTGTGCATTTCCTTACATTAGACCACGTGATAGGCAACACGTCCATGATAACCAAATTGATGAGAATAAGAGACATTTGTGATATGAGCTGACGGATGTGCCTCCCCTGCATTAGGCCATGGACTCGCGAGTATAACAAAACTTCATGTGTGTTCGGTAATAGCATTCAACATGCGGCGCAGACCAATCAAAAACGATTAAGCCATATCTTAGAATACGCATACATGGCTGCGCACACAGCAATAGCGTCATATACGTGTTACTTTACTGGCAAACAATTGTGAGGGGCACCCATTTTGTTGTATACATACCATCTCCAAAGATATGAGATAGCAAAATCTGGATAGCCTCAGCTGTGGATCGCCGATTTGGTGCAATAACCGATAAGAGAATCGCGGCGTTCAGCGCCCAATTGAGACAGAGACCAAATTCAGATATAAATATGAACACCCAGGCCAATGTGACATTCTGCACGTAGAAGAAAGTTGCTGTCAGAAATGAGCGAGGTGTCACAGGAGAGTGCCCGTACTAAAGGGCAGGTGTGAGATATATATGTTACCTACACAGAGACATTGTATAACATATAGGCATTCAAACGTCACCCGACGTTTGCACCGCTGTAATCAAGTCTGAACATACACGCCAACGACAAAGCCTTCACATGACCCCGGAGCATCGGTCGACTTAACACTGTGAATAGAGAGAGCGGCAGACAGCACAGTTCCCACCGATTGCACAGTCCGAGTCGAAAAAAAATAGAAGGAGGGTAAACGCACAACTCGTTTTGGGAATCTTAATCAGATATATGAGATCAGATATGTATGCATCGGGTGCATGGTAAAGTCAGAAACATGAAACATCCAAAATCATATGCCTGTGGACTTCATAACTATCCTGCTCGTATTCCCGAGCAAACGGTACGCCACACTGACCACGAGCATAAACCAGACATACTTCCTGCTAGAGAAGACGATACCTAACCATGTCATATGTACAGCATTAGGTAGATACGTAGATGAAGTCAACAGTGCATATAGTCAAATTGTATATTACAATCACGTCCACACAATTAGTCAGTTGTACAAACAATTTAAACCTCTTTTACAAATTGTACACCCCGCGATCACATCTGCAGTACTACAATAATATCCCACGTCGGCTATCGTATGGATAATGCGTCCGAAGATGCGGCTTGTATTTTATACACGGATATGCAGGAGTATGGTCTCATGGAAGGTGGTATCCAAATATTACGTACATGCTGGAAAAACTGTAAGGCTAATGCACAGAACGGGCCAGCTACAGCCAAACCAAGACCACAGACCAGAGGATCAGCACGCTCGGAGTACTTTGCAAGCCACGCGCCCAATACAGCGCCGCAGATGGTACCTGCGATGGGAGTCCGAAACATAATTCAAATTACAGAAACGCGTAAGTTGGTCCTAATACAGAAGTTCGAGTATGAGCTTCCTACGAAGGTCTTCACGAAGATACATAATAGCACACAAGACGTCACGAATACACTCAAGAAAACACCAGCTCGGCACATCCCTCTGCCACAGACACACAAATCTAGGCAAGTGCGTTGCACCGATCACTATAAATTTCACCAGTTCTCACAGGCGACTTCATGTGCACTCAAGAAAATAATGAAGATATATAGTCTATACATCGCAATACCAGTATATTCGCTGCAACCAAAGATAATATCATTTATCAACCACATCGTATATCGCAGCTCTCCGGCCAGCATCATCCTGGTCCCAGCCGTACTCAGCGGCGACAGCTATCGAGTCAATCATCTGACATCGTAGTCAACCATATACACTTTACACAAGCTAATCACACGAACATCAGCAAAACTACAAAGACAGACATCCTCTGTGCACTTGCCAGTCACCACGTCCTCCATCGCAATCAACTCGACTAACGCCATACATACCTCAGCCGCAAACAAAACCGAAAGATCTCGGCTATTCTCACATGATTCTCAAACATCAAACTAGTATGTTTATTCGCGCAGCATTGCCTTGTATACATACCAACCACGCCGTTCACTGCGGTCACTCCGCCCAGCATCATACTGGCCTCGGCCGTACTCATAGGAGACGGGGTGTGCGCCGTACCGTCCACAATAAACTTCGGACCCCAAAGACCCAACGCTCCGGTCGCATAGGTGACTGCCGTAAATCCAAGCGTGCTGAAGAGATACGAACGCACGCCGATACACTCCTTGGCATCACGGAAGAACGCGTAGAGACCGTCGCTATCCAGTTCTACAAATGGGAAGTGAAAATGAAATGACATGCTACCATGAGTGCGCATGTAATTGAGTGAGGTGTGTGCAAGGGGGGGGCGGGGGTGATTAAAGTACGGGGATGATTAAAGTATCGGGGTGCTCTAAAGATTCGAGTAGACACCTATGCATCCCTTGGCATGTCCGTACAATGCAATAATAAAACAACATTCGACAATCTTTATGGATACAATTTGCATGTCTACCGATGTTGAGATCATAGCACATACAATCCCAAAAACGGTCTCTCTAACAAGCACTCGTGTTGTGGGTGTCTACGCACATAAGTGCGAGACCCCTGTGTCCATACGAATTACGCACACAGAAATACAACTTTTGTTTACTACACACTCGTACATGTTACAATATCCGTATGCTCATGTATTGATACATCCGGAGTGCCCAGATTCCACTCACTTTAAACTATAATTCGCGCGCACAACTGCACATTCTCGTATACTCGCTGCTGTACTTCTGCGTACCTTGAACCCATATACCCGAGGATTTTGTCTTAGAACATGCGGAGTGCCAAGTAAATTAGTCAGCTGTATACATATAAAAAAGCGCACACAAAATTCATATATATATATATATATATATATATATATATATCTACTAATAAACAAC